TTTTGCCTCTGCCCTTAGTGTACCATGTCCTGGCGATTTTACTTTAACATTTTTCCTCCCTCTATCTGTGAAGTTGTCAGTCTCACATGTTTTTGTTTGCATATGTATCTCTCCATCCCTTCTCTCGAATTGTGAGGGTTTCCCTTTGTCAATGATTTTTTGTTCGATATCCATAATTTTTGTGCGATCAATCCCTGGACTCTGTCCACGTACCCAAGAGTGTGATTTAATGTCACTTCCATATTTATTCTGTGGATCCACGTCTGTGAGTTTCGCTGGTGTCGCGAGCACTGATTTCTCTCCCGTTTCCTTTCCAAATTTTCCCTCATTCCACAATCCCTGTCTGTATGCCTGTGTGAGAAGGAATGAGTCCTGTCCTGCCTTCTCTGCAGTTTTTGCATCGTGTTCGCCTTCGTTACCTTTTATCCAGTCAATTAGTTTCCCCCGAGGTGTGTTCGTGTTATCGATACAGCTCCCTTCCCATATGTCTCTCTGACTGTACTGCTTTGTAACAGATTGGTCGGTACGTTTAAATACGAGCTCCCCGCATCCCGTAACCCATTCAAAAATTATTCTCAATCCTAGCATCTTAGGTATGGCGGAAGTTACTTTGACATTTCTTTTCAGAGTGCATATAAAACAATTATCTCACAGAGTGTAGTCAATTTGACTCGAGCTATCTGTTATTTTCCGATTCAGAGTGCGTACCTCTAACACCATTTATCAGAGGATGCAATTGGTTTGATACGATATTATCTTAATTCCACTGTCTCTGTTTTAACCTGCTATTCTGGGGTTTAACCTTAGAGGGCGTTTTTTAGTTTTCCGCCCGTTCACAATCACCATGCAATGTTCGATCCTGATATTCTGGTTAACACGAAGTGATTCATTCCATCATCCATGCAAAACACTGTCTGCGAGAGATCCCGGACGAGCCCCCATTATGTTGTATGTGTTGGTATTATGAAATTTTGATGAAAATAATAAAAATTAATAATTTTCCGAAAAATGCGCAAATCGCATTAATTATGATAGTGTGTGTATTAATATGCATAAATTATGATAATGCATGTGATTATATGCATAAATTATGATAATCGTAGTAATTTATGCGGAGGCTTGCGATTATGTTAATGTGTGCAGTTACGATAATTTGCTTAGTTTCGTTTATCCAGGGTTATCAATCAGGATAACACGATTATCATAGATTCATTTACCGATTATCCTAGTGTGTGTTATAATATTTTAGGTCTCCATTTTCATATCTCATCACAGGATACAGTTGTCAAGAATAAGACAGTTTTGCATGGACTTGGAAGGAACACTCGATATGCTTCTGGATTACAATTTTATTCTAACAAGCACGTGACATTCTATCATGCAGGTCAAACATGCGTCAATAATTCATGGGCAAGATTATGCAATTAACTAATATGAACGACAAAAACTTATGCAGTTGTGACATTATGCAATTATGCAATATGAATAACGAAAACTCTTATGCATTTGACTAAAATGAATGAATAAACACTTATGCATTTAGCTAAATTGAATAACTAAAAATTCTTATGCATTTGCGATATTATGCATTAACTAATATGAATAACCAAAACTCTTATGCAATTACGAGATTATGCATTTGACTAAAATGAATGAATAAACACTTATGCATTTAACGAACTGAATGACTAAAAATTCTTATGCATTTGCGATATTATGCATTAACTAATATGAATAACCAAACTCTTATGCAATTACGAGATTATGCATTTGACTAAAATGAATGAATAAACACTTATGCATTTAACGAACTGAATGACTAAAAACACTTCTATCAATTGTAACCTCTACTTTTCTACCAGGCATCATTAGTTCGCCCATGTATTGATCACAATCGGCGACTGGTCGAGTTTGAAAACAAGCATGACACACTTCATATGGCGGTAATAAAAAGCACTTATTGTATCCCAGAGGCGAAAGTATATGTCAATAGATTCATCGGCAAGTCTAAAATCCTTTTTAACGGAATGTTTGATACAATGGTGGGTGAGGGCGTGTGGGCGCGAGAGCGAATCTGGCTCTGTTGTAATTAATTCTTCGGCGAGACTCTGGGACAAAGGAAACTGGTTTGACAAGATATTCTCTCTCTGTGTTCGGTCGATTCGTAATGAGGATTCCGAGAGTTTGAGTTTGCCTCGACGAGTCTATTGATCGCCTATGTGATGAGCGGAACAAGGGAAAGACACGGTAACAACTTTACTCTTATAACCGACGGACTCTTAATCACTCGATGGGCCGCGATTCCGCATGGCCAGCTGATGGTTCATGTAGTTGATAATCAGTCTTCTGATAATTGACTAGGGTTGATACGATGGTAAGGGTGAACTAGATGGGATAGTCTCACAGGTGAGTGGGGCGTCAATGCGTGCGTGTGTGGGTCTATTGGTGGGGGAAGTTGTGGGTACGAACGACTTTCGGAGAAGGACCCTCTGGCTTGCGCAGCTGCGGTGAGAGGGTGAGCGGCTCGCTTTCCGACTCCTTTCTTGGCTGACCCCGTACGATGACTGACGCGCGGCCACGCTCGTTTGCGTGGTCAGGCGATGCACCTCGGCGTGGCGACACGGCAGGGGAGCTGGACTCGTACACTCGTGTGCGGCAGGCGATGCACCTCGGCGTGGTGACACGGCAAGGGCGCCTGGCTCGTACACTCGTGCGCGGCAGGCGATGCCTCGGCACCGCGCGATCCTCGTCCTTCTGGATGACGAAAAGCTTCTTCGTTGGCGGCGACGAGGAGAGATGGTTGTCGCCCTGGAGAACTCTGGTGGGGCCTTAGCCCGGAGACGAGATGAGATGTAGGCCGGAGCTCGTGAAGATCTGTGGTGGAGCCGAAGATGGGCTCGTAGCCCGGATGATATGTGTGTTGGAGCCGAAGCCCGGACGATATGTGATGGGGGCCAGAGCCCCTGACGAACTGTGATGGAGGCCAAAGCCCCTGTCGATCTGAGTTGTATGGATTTTCCTTCGGTTTATATCGGAAATTCCACTCGGCTTCCCGAGTTGTTCAAAAGCTGTGTCATAAAACCTTCCTGTGGGGGTGGACCATCTGCGTCCGTGTGTGTGTCCGTCCGTGTGTTTCGCGTGCGTGTTTGTCCGTGTGTTTCGCGTGCGTGTTTGTCCGTGTTGTGGGGAGACAAAGGCGGTTGTTTCCACGGTGGGAGCACCCGGCGCATGCGCTTATTTATTCGAAGACGTGTTAATTTCCTTTGAGCCATTGCCCCCTTTATGGGTGTCATTTCCTAGCTTTGTGCCTGCGTGTGGAGATCCTCTCGGAAAGACAAAGGCGGCCGTGTTGCTCGCTTCCCATGGGTTGTTGTGTTTGGTTAATTTTGAGAGCCTTCTCCGCCCTTGATTCCTCTTCTACTTTAATTCCGTACTTATTATTTGACTTCTTGTGATCATTTAATCTGATATCCCGGCTAGGAATTTTGTTTTGGAGCGAAATCGATGCCATAATTATTATTTGATGCTTCGGCCCGGCCGTGTAGATATTCTTTAAAGGTAAATAATGTCAGTATTTATTAACAATGATGGGTCGCGATTCTGGTTCAGATTGTCGTCTGGTTTTCAATTGGAGTGAGGATGGATACTGTTTGCTTAATCTTTATGGTTAAGTTGGTAACTTGTGTATTTAACATGGTTCAAAGACCCATCTGTGCTTTTTGTCGTCGATGCTGTTTCTTTGTTAAGAATATAATTATCTCTTCCTCCGTGTCTCCTGGTTCTGCAACCCCCCGCCTGCAATTCCCCCCCTCCCTTGTTCCTCTTGTGTGAATTTAGGGGAGTTTTTTTTTTATTACCTTATTGCCCCCCCTTTCATGTCCTCTCTCCTTTGAAATGAGGTATGCGCGCATCTGTGGAAGTGTGGGGGCCTCTGTGGAAGTGTGGGGGCGTGTTCGTTCCCACGTGGCCGCGTCTATTAAAAAAAACGATATTATCTATGTTGGCAGAATAATTCTTAAAAAAAAAATAATATTAAAAAAAAATAAAAAGGGGGTACATACACAACAGACCCCCAGGAACAGGTTTTGCAGGTTTCCAGAGTATTTATGTGAGTTATTGGGGGAGAGGAAATCCCCCAGGCCAGAAAACATCATGGGGCAAGTGGGGGATGACCCTGCTGGGGCTGCGGTGCCTCATATATTGTAGTAAGTTGTAACCCCCTGTGAGTGGCTGGCTGAGGTGCCATCTGTTGAGGAAGTAATGAAGCCGATCCAGAGTCTGAGACCAGGAAAAGTTCCGGGCAGAGATGATCTCCCAAGTGAACTGCTGAGGGAAGGTGGTGTTTGTTTGCAGACTGACCTATATGACATCACAATAACAGTCTGGACCACTGGACGGGTTCTGCACGAATGCCCTGGTGGTCCCCCTCTTCAAGCAGATGTGTAGGAAATTCCAACAAAACCTACATCACTGCTTTGTTGACCTGGTCAAGGCCTATAATACCATCAATAGGTCTGGGCTCTGGGTTGTTCTTAATGCTTTCGGCGTCCCTGACTCTCTACTCACAATCATTAAGGACCTTCATGATGGTGGGCAGATCCAGATAAAGCTACGAGCCCAGAAGTTGGAGCCATTCCCTGTTCATCTTGGGGTGCGACAGGGATGTCCTCTGGCTCCCACATTATTTAACATCTTTTTCGATCACGTGGTTTGAGAAGCATTCAATGGCTGTACTGGAGGAATTTCCATCTGGTACAAATACAATGGGAGGCTGATCGATGCGAGGGATGGCTCCCTTTGGGTCAACCACGTTATGTATGCCGATGGTCTGGTGATTGCTGCTCATTCAGAGGAGGAGTCGGAGCCGCTGCTGCTGAACCTGCCACTAAGAGGTGGGGCCTTACCATCAGCCCCACCAAAACTAAGCACCTGCCTGGGTATTTTATGTCATTAACCACACCACACACACCATACACGGCACCACACAGGGAATCATTCAATCACGACTGTATGCATTTATTTTCATTGGCATTCATGAGTAATAGGGCAAAGATTGTGATGATGATTCTGTGATGATTATAATGATGATTCTGTGATCATGATGATTCCGTGACGATGGTAAGAGTCTTGGTGGAGGTGGTGGAGGCGGTGATGGTAGTGGTGATGGTGATGGTAGTAGTAGTGGTGGTGAAGGTGATGGTAGTGGTGGTGGTGATAGTAGTGGTGGTGAAGGTGATGGTAGTGGTGGTGGTGATGGTAGTGGTGGTGATGGTAGTGGTGGTGGTGATGGTAGTGGTGGTGCAGCTAGTGGAGGTGGTGGTGGTGATGGTAGTGGTGGTGGTGATAGTAGTGGTGGTGAAGGTGATGGTAGTGGTGGTGGTGATGGTAGTGGTGGTGATGGTAGTGGTGGTGGTGATGGTAGTGGTGGTGCAGCTAGTGGAGGTGGTGGTGGTGGCGGGCGGCTTGGCTCGACATAGGCATCATCAGCAGTATCAGTAGCCGTTATCTCGGAGGTACCGCGCCACCTTGAACGCCTCCGTGTTGATCTCTCCGCCGTGCACCCCATCCTTGCCCACCGCCACCACCAGCGCTACGGGGGGGGGCAGGGGGAGAGAAGAGGGCACGACCAGTCGCGTCATCAGCAGTAGCAACATCATTCTGGTCTCATCCCAATCTCCACCACCACCACCACCTCTAATCTGACCAACTCGACCGCCACCACCTTCACCAACACTACCTCCATCACCACCTACACCAACCCAACCATCATGATGATCGTCACCACCACCTCCACCACCTCCACCACCATCACCACCTCCAACACCTCCACCACTAGCACCACCATCGAGAAAGACCCCCGTCCCCACCTATAGCCTTAACAGACTGTTAGCGAGCAGCACCTATGAAGGCTGGCAAGGTCCACCAGTGGGTGGGTCGCCAGCACCACGCCCGACCGCCTTTGTTTCCCGAGTAGCGATGTTTACTACACACCGCTACACCAGATACTCATTTGAGGCTGAGTCGACCTAGGGGAGGCCCAACACCGGTTCACATATTCGTCACTGGTGTCGGCCGTGGGCGGAAATTGAACTCGGGTCGCTGGACTCCTAGCGCAGTGCTAACCACTACACGACCGCTCACCACCACCACTACCGCCACTACCACTACCTCCACCACTACCTCCACCACCACTACCACCACTACCACCACCACCACCATTACTACCACTACCACTACCTCCACCACCACCATTACTACCACTACCACTACCTCCACCACCACCACCACCACCACAATTTCCACCACAACCACCAGCACCACCATCTCCACTTCCACCACCACCACCACCACGACCAGCCAGCCAGCCTGACCTTTGGAGGCGGACGCGATGCTGATGTTGAGCGTGGGCTCCCCCGCGACGCTCTTGGTCTTGAGGTCCATAGTCCAGTCGTCGGCCAGGTTCAGCTGGTCCCTGAGCACCGAGCACTTGGCCCCGCCCAGGGTCAGCCCGTTGATGAAGAACTTCTGCCGGTCCTTGCCCAGGATCACGTCCAGCTCGGCCGCCTTCAAGAGACAAAGTCACGGGCGAAAAAGGTCACCACCACCGCCCCGGCTTGTCCACACAGATAAAGGTCCCCCAGGTAGCCCACACAGATAAAGGTCCCCCAGGGGCCACACAGATAAAGGTCCCCCAGGTGGTCACACAGATAAAGGTACCACGCACAGACAAAGGTATCCCGTGTAGCCGTTACAGACTGAAGGGGCAAGTGCTGTTAGAGAGTAGCAGTGCCTATGGTTGGCACTGTGACTCATGAGGAGGTGGGTTGCCAGCACCACCCCCGGCCGCCTTTGTCTCCCGGGTGGCAAATGTTCGTACAACATCTCACCAGGTACTCATTTGAGGCTAAATCGACCTAGGGTAGGCCCAGGATCAGTTTGGATAATCGTCACGGGTGGTGTTGGTGACCGAGAGCGGGAATCAAACTCGGGTCGCCAGGTTCATAGCGCAGTGCTAACCTCTACACCACCGCTCCCCACAGATATACATACACGAAGATAGATATACATTCAGATATACATACACACAGATATACACACAGATATACATACACACAGATAGATATACACACAGATATACACCCAGATATACATTCAGATATACATACACACAGATATACACACAGATATACATACACACAGATAGATATACACACAGATATACACCCAGATATACATTCAGATATACATACACACAGATACAGATATACTTACACACAGATATACACACAGATATACATACACACAGATAGATATACACACAGATATACACACAGATATACATTCAGATATACATACACATAGATACAGATATACATACACACAGATATACATTCAGATATACATACACACAGATAGATATACACACATATATACATACACACAGATATACATTCAGATATACATACACACAGATACAGATATACATACACACAGATATACATACACACAGATAGATATACACACAGATATACATATACATAGGTACAGATTCAGATATACATACACACAGATAAACATACCCACAGATATACATACACACAGATATACATTCACATGTACATACACACGTAAATATACACACAGATATACATACATATACACAAGTAGATATACACACACAACGGCACAGATCTCCCGTTTAGATAGACTGTTGGGGAAAATGTTGTTAGCGAGCAGCACCTATGAAGGCCGGCACAGGACACGAGGGGGTGGGTGACCAGCACCACGCCCGGCCGCCTTTATCTCACGATGAGCAGTCGGTCCTTAGGGCTGCAGTGAGACCACGGGGTTCGGACAGAGGCGCTCTCTCTCTCTGTGTGTGGCCTTTTAGCGCCGGATTTTTTGTCTTCCAGGAACCTTTTGGTCCGCAGTAGCGACGCGACTAAGGTGGGTGGATAGTGGGTGGGTGGGTGAGTAGGTGGGTGGGTGAGTTGGTGGGTGAATGGGTGCGGGGGTGAGTAGTTGGGTGAGTGAGCGGGTGAGTGGGTGGGTGAGTCGGTGGATAAGTGAGTGGGTTGGTGAATGTATGAGTGGGTAGGTGAGTGAGTGGATGCGTGGGTGGCTGGTTGGATGAGTGGGTGAGTGAGTGAGTTGTTGGATGGATGAGTGGGTGAGCGGGTGGGTGAGTGGGTTGGTGGATGGATGAGTAGTTGGATGATTGGTTGGTTCCCTACCTCCCATAGCTAAACCCCCAAACACAGTGGAACTACAGCTATCGGCCCACAAAGGACAGCTGCTCAAAGAAAATGGCGGCTTATCGTCGTCATCGTGTGTGAATGTGTAGCGGCAGCCACAGAACTCGCGTGATTCTACAGACTCACAGAACCGCATAAAGACCCACACAGATCCTGAGACGTATATGGAACCATAGGGACCCACAGAGACCAAGATAAACCATAGAGACCCATATTCATAGAGACCCATACTTAAACTGAGCTATTCATTTTACTTTACTAGGTAAGAACCCACAGAGCTACGTAGCTGTTTCTCAGAAGCGACCTGGCCACCACCAATGATGGCTCGACGAAGTGGCGGCTTAGCACGTGAACGTTCATAGCAGCAGCCAAACACTCGAAGCGCGTGGCGATGTTGATTCCAAATGTGGAGGGAAAAAACGGGAGGACCCTGGAGAAAAATCCACCCAACCACAGGGAGAGAGAGAGAGACGCAAACTCCAAATATGCAGCAGCAGCAGCAGGCATCGCCAGGGTCCGGGATCGAACACACGACCTCCTGCAGACCAGGCGAGGTAGTCAACATCTCTTAGCCCACCATGTCAGGATGCTCCTGAGCACGAGCCACGGAAGATGGCGAGGCGATGGTGCCGATGGTTACACGAGCAGGATCACGTTTGACAATCATCTAATAATACTCTTATATAAGCGCACAACTTCATCTGTCTGTGATGACCGCTGCACTTTCCGTCGTTTTCATGCAGGGGGCGCTGCAAACCTACGCGCCCCCTGCATGAACGACGGAGGCGCAGGGACAGACGATCGATTACGTTGGAATCGATCAGCAGACGGCGGTCTTCTCGCACGGCCAGCAGCTCTATGTCGCCTTATCTCGAACAGGTGAAAGTCCGCATCGAACCGAACCCCCAGCAAGGCCATCTACTTAACGACGAGAGGAAATTCACACGAAATGTCCTTTTCAATGAAGTCTTCCAGATGTAAAATGATATAAGCTTTAATGAAGAAATGTAATTATCTAATTCAAAACATAATACAATTGGAAGATGTTTCATTTTAAAACTTCAAAACGGACTTTCCTGGCCGAAGTCCGTAAATAGTTAACATTTTAAGAATATTTGTCTTAAACACGCTAACGAGGTTTGCAACATCCGATTAGTACGGTTGGACACGTACGGTGCGAAAGAAGTTCAACACACATCCATCATACTTACAGCACACGTACATACAACATGCATACAGAATGGCATGCAACAAACACACAACATGCAAACAACACCGTCTCTGTGTGTGTGGCCTTAAAGCGCCACTGGGGAGACAAAGGCGGCCGGGCGTGGTGCTGGCCACCCACCCCCTCGTGTACCACAGTGCCGGCCTTCATAGGTGCTCGCTAACAGCACTTGCCCCAACAGTCTGTTAAGGCTACACGGGGGATATTTGTCTTGGGGGCCTTACATTGGAAAATATATCAGAGATGACGTTTCGGGCAATGGGCCTTCTTCTTCATCCCAAATAATCCTTTCACATACCACTTACATGGAACTGTGTGAGCCGTTCAAGGGCCATTGCCTGAAACGTCGCCTATTGTATACGTCTCCTCTCACAAAGACAAAGATTCCCCGTATAGCATTTAAAGACTGTTGGAGAAAGTGCTGTTAGCGAGTACCTATCATAGCACACGATGGGGAGGGTGGCCAGCACCACGCTCGACCGCCTTTGTCTCCCTAGTGGCGATGTTTACTACACACCGCCACCAGGTACTCATTTGAGGCTGAGTCGACCTAAAGGAGGTCCAGGACCGGTTCAGATAATCGTCACTGCTGGTGTTGGCCGTGAGCGGGAATCGAACTCGGGTGGGCAGGTTCGTAGCGCAGCGTAGCGCTAACCACTACACTACCGCTCCCTATACAGACAGGGACACGTAGAGATGGACACACAAAGACACAAACACATACGGACACACACATAGACACACACAGACACACACAGATACACACAGACACACACAGACACACACACAGACACACATGAACAGACACGCACACACAGACGGACACGCACAAACATACACAGACACATACACACAGATACACACAGACACATACACAGGCACACGCACAGACACAAACACAGACACACACAGAGACAAACACAGACACACGGAGGGTGGGGGTGTGAGAGTCTGGAGGCGTTTGCCGTGTGACGCCCACAAAGACACACACACAGACACACACACACATAAGTGGCGGTGACGTCACCACGGCGCTTGTGCCAGGCTAGGTGCACATTGAGGCCACGTGAAGTGTCGAACGCCCGCTAGCAGGAGGTCACGGGGCAGACCCAGGTGCCACGGATCGACTGACTGAGATGACCGAGATGACTGGCTGATGCACCACCTGTACCCCCATCTGTGCCAACTGCTGTGCTTTAACCACCCGGCCCTCCGCTCGTTGTTGTGAGCGTCGCTCCTCCGCCCTCTGTTGTTGTTGGATGGCGACTGCCTCCAACTGCCCAGCAGCGTCTTTCACGAGCCTCCTCCACAGAGGCCGATCTTGACACCGCTGGTACCAGTCATCGGCAAGTCCACTCAGCTCCACATCCTCCTGTACCACATCACTCCATCTCTTCTCTAGCCCGTGCCGCGCCCGTTTAGCCCCCTCTATCCGGCCAAACTAAATCTGTTGAGGCATGCGGTGGCTGAGAATGCGGGCGACATGACCCAGCCAACGCAGCCTTGCCTGCTGGAAGAGCTCACCGATGGGACTTTGTTCAGATCTCACACAATCCAGCCTGGTTAAACCCAGGATGGATCGTTGGCAGGCCAGCCTAAATGTTTCTAACCGGCGAAGATGTTCCATTAGGGGGGTCCAGGTTTCGCAAGCGGAGAGAAGGGAGGGAATGACTGTGGCCGAGAAGACCCGAAGCTTCGTGTGGAGCGACAGACCAGGTAGCTTCCACACGGCGTTACGCAACCGATGAAAATATATTGCCGCTCGACTATCGGAGTGAGATCTCTGCTGTCAAACCGGACATGTCATGAGCACACTGCCCAGGTATGGGGAACTCTCCACTTAACACAACTGCCCCATCACCAATTGGGAGTTGTGGGGGTGGAATGTTTGATGGTACAAAATACCCAGGCAGGTGCTTAGTTTTGGTGGCACGCTCCAGGTTCAGCAGCAGCGCCTCCAAATCCTCCTCTGAGTGAGCAGCAATTACCAGATCATCAGCATACATAACATGGTTGACCAATAAGGAGCCATCCCTTGACTGCACCCGGGCATCGATCAGCCTCCCGTTGTATCTGAACCAGATGGAAATTCCTCCAGTACAGCCATCGAAGGCTTCACGAACTACGTGGTCGAAATAGACACACACACAGACACAAACAGACACGCACACACAGATTCACACATATAATTACACACAGATACAAAGACAAAGATCGCCTATATAGCCTTAACAGACTGTAGGGGCAAGTGCTGTTAGCGAGCACTTATGAAGGCCCGAACGGTACACGAGGGGGTGGGTGGCCAACACCACGCCCGGCCGCCTTTGTCTCCCCAGTGGCGATGTTTACACATCGCACTAGGTACTTATTTGAGGCTGAGTCGACCTAGGGGAGGCCCAGGACCGGTTCAGATAATAATCGTCACTGCTGGTGTTGGCCGTGAGCGGGAATCGAACCCGGGTCGCCGGGTTCATAGCGCAACGTAGCGCTAACCGCTACACTACCACTCCCCAGACACACACACAGACACACACACACACATACACGCACACACAGACACACATACACAGACACACACAGACAGACACACACAAAGACACACACACAGACACACACACACACACAGACAGACACACAGACACAGACACACACACAGACACACACACAGACACACACAGACACACACACAGACACACACAGACACACACACAGACAGACACACACAGACACACACAAAGACACACACAGACACACACACAGACACACACATAGACACACACACATAGACACACACACACAGACACACACACAGACAGACACACACACAGACACACACACAGACAGACACACAGACAGACACACACAGACACACACACACACAGACACACACACACAGACACACACACACAGACAGACACACACATAGACACACACACACAGACACACACACATACACACACACACAGACAGACACACACAGACACACACAGACACACACACAGACACACACACACACACACAGACACACACAACACACAGCCACACAGACAGACACACACAGACACACGTGTGTGTGTGTGAGAGTCACCGTGATATTTGCGAGGAGTTTGCCGTGTGACGCCCACACGCTTTTGGTGGCGATGCCCACGACGGCGGCGTCCGTGAACTTGCCCATCGCCATGAGGTTCTCCACGTAGCTGTTCCACGACATCGTCCGCTCGACAAGTTCGCTCGCCCGAAGATCGAGGTTCTATCGATGTATCGAGTGAATTTTTTTCGAAGTAAACGATGCGCCCGTTTGTCGTGTGCCGAAAATCGATTTCAGGGGCAGATTTGCTTTTTTTTTTTACGAAAAAATGTGAAGTCTGTTTAAAAATAGTTTTGCTGGGTTGAGTCGACGACGATGATGGTGGTGATGGTGGTGGGTTGGTGATGGTGGTGGGTTGGTGATGGTGGTGGTGGGTTTGGTGATCGAATGGGCTCAGCTCACACGCGAAGCTCAATTAGCCCGTCCGAGCGAGTGGCGACACGGGGAAGGAAGTACCCCGACTACTTATACGGCTGCGTGTGCGCGCGTGTGTGTGTGTCTGTGTGTGCGTGTGTGTCTGTGTGTGCGACTGTGCGCGTGTGTGTGCGTGTGTCTGTGCGTGTGTGTCTGTGTCTGTGCGTGCGTGTGTGCGTGCGTGTGTGCGTGTGTGTGTGCGTGTGTGCGTGTGTGTGCCTGTGTGTGTCTGTGTGTGTGTGTGCCTGTGTGTGTCTGTGTGTGTGCCTGTGTGTGTGTCTGTGCGTGTGTGTCTGTGTGTGCGTGTGCGCGTGTGTGTGTGCGTGTCTGTGCGTGTGTTTGTGTGTGTGTCTGTGTGTGTGTCTGTGCGTGTGTGTGCGTGTCTGTGTGTGTGTCTGTGCGTATGTGTGCGTGTGTGCCTGTGTGCGTGTGTGTGTGCGTGTCTGTGCGCATACTACGCACACGCAAGCACACAAACATACATCTACTAAGATATACACACAGAGACACACACACAGAGACACACAAAACATCTACAAAGATATACACACAAATATACATCTCCAAAGACATACACGTACACACAGAGACACAGTCACACACACACAGAGACACACACAGCCACACACAGACACACAGAGACACACACATACAGACACACACAGACACACACAGACAAACACACAGACACACAGAGACACTGACACAGAAACACACAGACACAAAGAGACACAGAGACACACACAGACACAGAGAGAGACACACAAATACATCTACAAAGACAGACACACAGACACACAGATACACACACACAGAGACACACAAATACATCTACAAAGAAACACACACAGACACAAAGATACACACACACAGAGACACACAAATACATCTACAAAGACACACACACAGACACACACAGATAAAGACAAATATGCCCTGTATAGCCTTAACATACTGTTGGGGCAAGTGTTGTTAGCGAGTAACACCTATGAAGGCCGGCACTGTGGCACACGAGGGGGTGGGTGGCCAGCACCACGCCCGGCCGCCTTTGTCTCCCCAGTGGCGATGCCTTTACACACAGGCACCAGGTGATCATTATGGGGGACGGTGGTGGTCGGGTCATCGGTGGTGGCCGGCTCATTGGCCGGGGGTTTGCAGTGGATAGACCATGGGCTGCAGTTGTGAGTTCGCGTGCGCTACAAGAGAGATACACAAAGGTAGCGACAAAGCTGTCCCGGGTAGCCTACACAGGGGCAAGTGGGGCGGGGGGAGGGGGGTGACCCTGCCATACTTGGACATCTGTGGGTCTCTGTGTGAGTGAGTCTATGGGTCTCTGTGTGAGTGAATCTATGGATGTCTGTGTGAGTGAATCTACGGGTCTCTATGCGAGTGAGTCTATGGGTCTCTGCGTGAGTGAGTCTATGGGTCTCTGTGTGAGTGAGTCTATGTGTCTCTGTGTGAGTGAGTCTATGGGTCTCTGTGTGAGTGAGTCTATGGGTGTCTGTGTGAGTGAGTTTATGGGTCTCTGTGTGAGTGAGTCTATGGGTGTCTGTGTGAGTGAGTCTATGGGTCTCTGTGTGAGTGAGTTTATGGGTCTCTGTGTGAGTGAGTCTATGGGTCTCTGTGTGAGTGAGTCTATGGGTCTCTGTGTGAGTGAGTCTATGAGTCTCTGTGTGGGTGAATCTATGGGTCTCTGTGTGGGTGAATCTATGGGTCTCTGTGGAGTCTCTGGGTCTGTGTGAGTGAGTCGATAGTTCTCTGTGTGAGTGAGTCTATGGGTCTCTATGTGAGTCAGTCTATGTGTCTCTGTGTGAGTGAGTCTATGTGTCTCTGTGTGAGTGAGTCTATGTGTCTCTGTGTGAGTGAGTTTATGGGTCTCTGTGTGTGAGTCTATGGGTGTCTGTGTGAGTGAGTCTATGGGTCTCTGTGTGAGTGAGTCTATGGGTTTCTGTGTGAGTTGGTCTATGAGTCTCTGTGTGAGTGAGTCTATGAGTCTCTGTGTGAGTGAGTCTATGTGTCTCTGTGTGAGTGAGTCTATGGGTCTCTGTGTGAGTGAGTCTATGGGTCTCTGTGTGAGTGAGTCTATGAGTCTCTGTGTGGGTGAATCTATGGGTCTCTGTGGAGTCTCTGGGTCTGTGTGAGTGAGTCGATAGTTCTCTGTGTGAGTGAGTCTATGGGTCTCTGTGTGAGTGAGTCTATGAGTCTCTGTGTGAGTGAGTCTATGTGTCTCTGTGCGAGTGAGTCTATGGGTCTCTGTGTGAGTGAGTCTATGGGTCTCTATGTGAGTCAGTCTATGGATCTCTGTGTGAGTGAGTTTATTAATCTCTGTGGAATGAGTCTATGGGTCTCTGTGTAATGAGTCTATGAGTCTCTGTGTGAGTGAGTCTATGTGTCTCTGTGTGAGTGAGTCTATGGGTCTCTGTGTGAGTGAGTCTATGGGTCTCTGTGTGAGTGAGTCTATGAGTCTCTGTGTGGGTGAATCTATGGGTCTCTGTGGAGTCTCTGGGTCTGTGTGAGTGAGTCGATAGTTCTCTGTGTGAGTGAGTCTATGGGTCTCTGTGTGAGTGAGTCTATGAGTCTCTGTGTGAGTGAGTCTATGTGTCTCTGTGTGAGTGAGTCTATGGGTCTCTGTGTGAGTGAGTCTATGGGTCTCTATGTGAGTCAGTCTATGGATCTCTGTGTGAGTGAGTTTATTAATCTCTGTGGAATGAGTCTATGGGTCTCCATGTAAGTGAGTCTGTGGGTCTCGGTGTGAGTGAGTCTATGGGGGTGTGTGAGTGAGTGTATGGGTCTGTGTGAGTGAGTCTATGGGTTTCTGTGTGAGTGACTCGATGGGTCTGTGTGAGTGAGTCTATGGGCCTCTGTGGAGTGAGTCTGTGGGTCTCTATGTGAGTGAGTCTATGGGTCTGTGTGAGTGAGTCTCTGGGTCTGTGTGGTTGAGTCTATTGGTATCGGTATAAGTAAGTCTATGGGTCTCTGTGTCAGTGAGTCTATGATTCTCTGTGTGAGTGGGTCTCTGGTTCTGTGTGAGTGAGTCTATGGGTCTCTGTGTGAGTCTGTGGGTCTCTGTGTGAGTGAGTCTATGGGTCTCTGTGTGAGTGAGTCTATGGGTCTCTGTGTGAGTGAGTCTATGGGTCTCTGTGTGAGTGAGTCTATGTGTCTCTGTGTGAGTGAGTCTATGGGTCTCTGTGTGAGTGAGTCTATTGGTCTCTGTGTGAGTGAGTCTGTGGATCTCTGTGGAGTGAGTCTATGGGTCTCTGTGTGAGTAACTATGTGGGAATCTGTGTGAGTGAGTCTACGGGTCTGTATGAGTGAGTCTATGGGTATGTGTGTGAGTGAGTCTGTGGGTCTCTGTGTGAGGGAGTCTATGGGGGTGTGTGAGTGAGTCTATGGGTCTGTGTGAGTGAGTCTATGGGTTTCTGTGTGAGTGAGTCTATGGGGGTGTGTGAGTGAGTCTATGGGTCTCGGTGTGAGTGAGTCTATGGGTCTCTGTGTGAGTGAGTATATGGGTCTCGGTGTGAGTGAGTGTATGGGTATCTGTGTGAGTGAGTATATGGGTCTCTGTGTGAGTGAGTCTATGGCTCTCTGTGTGAGTCTATGGGTCTCTGTGTGAGTGAGTCTATGGGTTTCTGTGTGAGTGAGTATATGGGTCTCTGTGTGAGTGAGTCTATGGCTCTCTGTGTGAGTGAGTCTATGGTTCTCTGTGTGAGTGAGTCTATGGGTCTCTGTGTGAGTGAGTCTATGGGTCTCGGTGTGAGTGAGTATATGGGTCTCAGTGTGAGTGAGTATATGGGTCTCGGTGTGAGTGAGTATATGGGTCTCTGTGTGAGTGAGTATATGGGTCTCTGTGTGAGTGAGTCTATGGGTCTCTTTGTGAGTGAGTCGATGGGTCTCTGTGTGAGTGAGTCTGTGGGTCTCTTTGTGAGTGAGTCGATGGGTCTCTGTGTGAGTGAGTCGATGGGTCTCTGTGTGAGTGAGTATATGGGTCTCTGTGTGGTGAGTCTATGGGTCTCTGTGTGAGTGAGTCTATGGCTCTCTGCGTGAGTCTATGGGTCTCTGTGTGAGTGAGTCTATGGGTCTCTGTGTGAGTGAGTCTATGGGTCTCTGTGTGAGTGAGTCTATGGCTCTCTGTGTGAGTGAGTCTATGGTTCTCTGTGTGAGTGAGTCTATGGGTCTCTGTGTGAGTGAGTCTATGGGTCTCGGTGTGAGTGAGTATATGGGTCTCTGTGTTTGAGTATATGGGTCTCGGTGTGAGTAAGTATATGGGTCTTCTGTGTGAGTGAGTATATGGGTCTCTGTGTGAGTGAGTCTATGGGTCTCTTTGTGAGTGAGTTGATGGGTCTCTGTGTGAGTGAGTCTGTGGGTCTCTTTTTAAGTGAGTATATGGGTCTCTGTGTGGTGAGTCTATGGGTCTCTGTGTGAGTGAGTCGATGGGTCTCTGTGTGAGTGAGTCGATGGGTCTCGGTGTGAGTGAGTCTATGGGTCTCTGTGTGGTGAGTATATGGGTCTCTGTGTGAGTGAGTCTATGGGTCTCTTTGTGAGTGAGTATATGGGTCTCGGTGTGAGTGAGTGTATGGGTATCTGTGTGAGTGAGTATATGGGTCTCTGTGTGAGTGAGTCTATGGCTCTCTGCGTGAGTCTATGGGTCTCTGTGTGAGTGAGTCTATGGGTTTCTGTGTGAGTGAGTATATGGGTCTCTGTGTGAGTGAGTCTATGGCTCTCTGTGTGAGTGAGTCTATGGTTCTCTGTGTGAGTGAGTCTATGGGTCTCGGTGTGAGTGAGTATATGGGTCTCGGTGTGAGTGGGTATATGGGTCTCTGTGTGAGTGAGTATATGGGTCTCTGTGTGAGTGAGTCTATGGGTCTCTTTGTGAGTGAGTCGATGGGTCTCTGTGTGAGTGAGTCGATGGGTCTCTGTGTGAGTGAGTATATGGGTGTCTGTGTGGTGAGTCTATGGGTCTCTGTGTGAGTGAGTCTATGGCTCTCTGCGTGAGTCTATGGGTCTCTGTGTGAGTGAGTCTATGGGTCTCTGT